CAGAAGACATTGGCATAAATTTGTCGGAATTATTACTGTATCCCTACTACTCCAAAATTGAGTATAGAACTACTCTAAGTGGCTTAATCCTGCTAACTGGTGGGCAAATCATCGTGGCAACATTACCTGCTTGGCCAATCTAATGTTGCTCATTGCACAGATCGAGTTGCCATAGTTTTGCTACTGAATTGAATGTACTGATGCAAGGAAAAACATTGTAGCATCCAGTTGATAGTTGCCCTCTCCCGTTTATTTATTTTTGTCTGGCACCTGTATTTTACTTCCCTTGCATTTCCCTCCAATTCCATCTGTTTACTTCCAAAGATTATTTTATTTATCTCTTTTTCTTTTCTTCATTTTTTTTAAATTCCCCTTCACAACAACACCTCGCTTAAAAAAGAGCTCAGGTGTGCAAATTAAATGGAGATTCCGCATATTTGGTTCCACGAGACACATTTGATGTCACACTGTCTGAAAAGGTTTTCCAGGCCCAACTTTACAATTAATTCCTCTTTTTCAGCTCCACCAGTGTTTCCGTGGAACTGTTTTTTTCTCATTTAATTGAATGCGATTTCACAATGTTTCACGCAGGTGTCACTCTGTATCTTAATGCAATTTGATATATTTGGATACTTTGACGAGCAACACTGGAGATACCCAAAATAGTTTGTATTCTTCAATTTTTTGTGAAATTAACACTTTTTTTGGTCCAGAGTCAATGTCTTTCAAAGTGTTTCATTGAAGATCGTGCCACAGGGGCAATCGAAACTCAGAATTGCTGTCTTTATAAAGGCCAATTTCTTATGCGTTATGTCGGAAGAAATGAAATCATTTTGGGTAGAACAACCTTTTGGGGCACATCCAGTAACGCACAGTCAATCAGGTTGTTAAAAAGTGTTACATTTGATTATCCAAAATCTTACTAATCCTTCAAAATGGCACTTAATCTGCCATCTGATGATATATAAAAAAATCCTACAGGCCCAATGAAATTAGTAAAGCATTTGACAAATTTGGCATTAGTCTCCATTTACTTTAAAAAACACTGATTGAGAGTGTACATACAGTAAATAAGTTTTTTGGATTTTTTTTTGGGGAGGGTTGTTGTTTTTCGTGAACATTTTCTGATATACAGTAAGATTGAGGCCATCTCTCTGACTCCTAGTGGTTGATCAGAAATCGAAAGTGTTTTGTTGTAGAGGATCAGTGGGTATGATCGTCTTTATTCATCCATTTCTTCTGTGCGTTACGTACCTAAGTCTGTCCATTTTTTTCTTTCAGCCATCTTGATTGCCATATTCCAATTACATAGTGGTGTTTGAGCTGGATGCCGTCTTTAACCACAACGGATATTTGTTGTCGTGCCCGGCTTCAAGCCAGAAATGAGAAAGACGGAGACGAATGAAACATTTGAAATGGTTCCGTGCAAGTCTTGACAAGTAACAGGCTTAGGGATGTTTAGCAAGTCTTCCACTTGCTCTATTATTTGCTCATTGATTCCAAACGGAAGCATCCTCTGATTTGCCGTGAGGTGGGAAGGAAACATGCTGCGGCGTCGCAATGGAGAGATGACTGTCTCGTTTTGCTCTTCATCACAAAGCGTGGGCAGGGGACTTCGTGGGAGTGCGTGTCTTTGTCTCGCCAAATGCTGATGGAAATGAATTAAAAGGAGCGGATCACATCTGTCAAGCACATGGCAGATATGAAACCCCCACACCCACCATTCTCCATGGTCGGCACCTCATGGATGTTAATAGAGAGGAACGTTGTCTTTTTTTTTTTTCTTCTTCTTCTTGATATTAGATCATTCTTACTCTGGTTTATTCAAGCCAATTTAATGAAGAATGTATTGCTCTGAGAAACGACCTATCGATTAAATGGGCCTCCGAAAGCATCTCAAGGAACTTTGGCCTTTCTCATCATTTCGATATTACTGCTGGGAATGCTGTAATTAAGTTTGACAGGAGAGTAGATGGCTTATGGATTTTCATAACACTCTTGATCTGTCTTTGTTGCAGAAGCATTTTTCGTGTTAAGCACTGCATCCTCACCGGCTGTTTTGTTTTTTGTTTTTTCTTTTCGTGTCATCAAGAATTTCAAACTAAAGTTGTATTTGCATGTTGCTTTATTACAATGTTGACCAAAAGACCAATTTTGGGATTTGGACCCATCATTGCATGTGACATCACTACGCCATCCCAGCCACCTTGGCTTCTGATGAAACATTTTGCTACTTGCGCAACTCTGCAAACAAGTGCGTTTTTGTTTGTTTATTTTTCTCGAGGTCAGTATAGCAGTGATTCTCGACTGGTGGCTCGAGACCTAAAAATGAGTTGCGAAATGATAGTGGGTGAAATATTCAAACTTGGTTCCTTTGCAAAACAACACGATTTAGACTTTTCCAAAAAGAAGAGGTCACTGCCAGGATCATTGACATCTGATGGTACTATTTTGTGAAATTGTGAGAGCCAGTTTGACTTTATTCATTTTTGTGCGGAGGATTGTCACGGCCTGAGCTTCCTACAAAAGTGCTCTGACAGATTTTAAATGCTTCAAATATGTTTTCTTTTTGAAAAATTGTCTTCTTTATTGTCCTTCACTTCTGTAAAAGTGGGCCGTGAGAGTTCTTCTCTCCAGGTTGCAGTTTTCATTATTATTTTTATTTATGTATTTATTTATTTTTAATTGCTTTCCCAATCCAGGTATTACAGGAAAGATCACATGTATGTGTATATATACATATATACCCGTATGTATATATACATATATATACACGTATACATATATGTATGTATGTGTATTTTTATTTATTTATGTATTTATTTTTTAAAAGGAGACAGCATACATTGTGTTGTTTACAGTTTGCTTCTTTGATTACTTTGCTTCCTGTATGCCTTGATATGTGGTGCCAAGTCCTCCGGTAAATGTTTGTTGCTGCTCGCGCGCTTGCAGTCATCTTTCCTGTTGCTGTGTATACTTGCGTGTATGTGTTTGTGTGTCTGGTGGCCTGTGGTGAGCAGTCTGGCCCAGCACCGTCGCCCGGTCCCCCCACTTTGCGGCACATATGGCGCTGCCTTTGTGTCAGCGGAGCTCTACGGGGTTCCTTATAATTAACAAGATAACAGATGAATAGAATGAGGAGCACACGCAGGATTTGATTATTCGCTTCTTTGTCTTTCTGCATTTGTGTGTGTGTGTGTGTGTGCGTGTGTGTGTGTGAGCCCACTCACCACTATATTACAGTAGGCAGACCTGTACAATTGAAAAGGATCTAAAACAAGCTCTAATGTATCAAAATATTTTTTCAAATGTCATGACAGATTTGATTGAGTGTCCAAATTTTAAGATATTTTATTATTGTACCCAACAGTATATAGTATTTGTTGTTCTTGTTCATGTCTTAATATTCCATTTATTACTATTATTAGTAGTCAGTGTATATGATTTAAATCCCGACCCATATTAAATCAAAATTAAAAACAAACCAAATTAATAAATAAAAGTTAATTGCTACTGAAAATCATTGTTCTCTAACCACTGTATTTCTTTTGTCTAGCTGCCACGACGATGCAAGGCCAAGTGTGTGTGGAGATTCAATGAACAATGATTAGTCTTTATTGAGCATGTTTAATGATAATGTTTGGACAAGGTGATGGATGCTGTTGGTAATTCACAAGCTATTGTCCCCTAAAATGGAGCGGGGAGTCGGGGGGGGGGTGCACAGGAGCAAGTTACCTTGCGCTTATTACTCCACACTTGCATACATATTGGCTTCATTACAAACATATATTTGCAATTCACGTGAGTTTGTCTATTTCCTTTCAATATTAAACCCACTGCATTTCCCATCAGTTCATCAGGTACGGCGTATGAATTGAATATTCTGGATGAGTAATTATCAAACATTAGCTCTGTATTATCCACTGTAGAAATTATTCTCAAGCCTGTTGGGAACAAGACAAAATGTGCAGCCTGTTATCATTTAATTACTTTATATTTCTCGATCAATTGCAAATCAATTTCACACAAATAATTTATTTATTTTTTTCTTCTCTAAATGGGAATTGGATATGCTTCTAGTGATATGATCACAAATCTTATTATCAAGGCTCTAATTGGAGCGTCAGCAGAAGCATTTGCAATGACGATTCTGTCTCAGTGAAGACGTGCAAAGTCTCGTTTTATTGCCTTCTCTTTACACTGCTCAGTCCCCCAAGGGGAATAAGATAGATGACATCATTAGCCGCCAAAGAAATAGGGGTGGTTGTACCTGAAATGGCCACAAAAAAGTCTTAGGAGATGGTCTTTCTTTCTCAGGCTGAGAAACGGAAGACAGGAAGACCCTTCCTGTCAAATATTCTGGTAAATAATTTTGAAGTTTGTGAGGATAAGAACCATGGCCACTCTCAACTAGAACTTCTTAAAGACTGCATTGAGACCAAGTCAGTCCAGCTCTGTTTTCTTGAGACCGCAACGCTGGATTTCCATCCATTCATCCATTTTCTGATTCGCTTTATCCTCACAAGGGTTGGGGGCGTGCTGGAGACTATTCCAGCTGTCCTCGAGCAGTAGTCAGGGGACACCCTGAACTGCTTGCCAGCCAATCGCAGACTCGGGATTTGATTTAACTGAAATGTAATCAATTCACATGACATTTTTTTATCAGATGACCAAAATATGATACTGGGCACAGAGGGGACTGTTCTGCCCATTTGGCTTCTATCTTTTCTTCATTCACAGTTCTAAGTAGTTGTTCGGTCCACACAGAGTTCAGCCAGGCTGAATGACGGCTGTCAAATGTAACAAGTTGATTTAATGCATCAGACGCAACCTTGTCTTTGGCATGAGATGGACTGAAATTGAGATTTGCATTAACAATCAGTTGTATATTCACTTAAAGTGTGTGTGTGTTCACTTGTATATTCACTTAAAGTGTGTGTGTGTGTGTGTGTGTGTGTGTGTGTGTGTGTGTGTGTGTGTGTGTGTGTGTGTGCGCGCAGAACCTGATAAAAAACCTGCCGGAGCAGAACGAGCTGTCAGCGCTAGCGGAACTGAAGAGTGAATATGAAGAGCTGGTGGAGTCGGAGCAGTTTGGAATTGTGGTGAGTCAAATTCTTTAGATGGCCAAAAGAAACTAAACAATGCGCACAATCAAAGGCATCTGTTTGGTTTGAAAAAAAAACACCACTGGTAGCGAAGTGTGTGTCCTCTCAAAAATGGTGTATGTGGACATACTTAAGTGTATGTTCTCCAGTTTGGGCAACGTTATTGCCAAACTCTCCAAGATGCTAGAGTGCCATTAAGCACTTTAATAAAGACGTTGGTCGCAGGGGTGCATGCGAGGTGCTCTCCCATCTCCTTAATTTCCTCCTCCTAACTTGATGAAAGTTGTCGGCCTCTGTCTTTTAGGGAAGTGTAATGAAGCGGTGGGGGTGGCAGCCTTCCAAAATGATCTCACCCATCTTGTGATCATATACCTCGGCGCTGATGAAGAAGCTTCTTTGCAGCTATTTAGTTCCCAGGGGAAATAAGAGACGTTAAAGCTTATAGTATAGGAATCGGTTCAACTGATGGAGACGTGCGTGTGTGTGTGTTTGACAAACATCTCATCCAGACTCAGCCATGGCTCTAATGAAACAGCTTTTCTTAGATGGGGGAAGTTCTCTTGAACGCTGCATGTTCTTCTGCCGTCTTAGTAAGCATGCAAAAAAGTGAAGCCCTTTTCCCACGCAATTAATTTAAAGACCCCATAAAGTGAATTCAGAAATTCATGTCCAAGTACTTTTTACATGTTTGATAATTGCTGAAAATCTGTGAAAAGACGGAGAACGGTGTAGTACTAATTTGTGTTGATCAACAGTTAGCTTTCACCAGTTCAGAATGGGACCCGGTGTGAGTCGCCCCTCCCTTTCTAGAAAAGAATTTGAGCGCCTCTGTTTGCTTATCAGCAATTACCATGCAAAATCACGATGTTTAGTTTGGAGTGAGCTAAGACTACACTCTGAAAATGGATCTTCCCTGTATGCTGCTTGAGAAGAGATTTCACAATTCTGCTCCTGGTCCATCAATCAGCAGATGGTTTGGGTCCTGAGAACATGAAGGAACTGCTAATGGGAAATAAACCCTTTCGGTCTTCAGACTCGGGTCAGTTAGTGGGGCCCAGGTTTTAAAGCAAACATGGTGAAGAGGCATTTAGCTGTTCGGCTGCTCTCAAATTGAATAATAACAGGAGTGAAGTGAGCCCCGACTATAAATGCTTTTAAATCCACGTTAAAACTCTTTTCCTTTTTTTATATTCCTTTGATTCCTTTGATTTTAAACATTTTTATAAGCAAGTCAAGTATCAAGCATAACTTTATTGTCAAATGTGCTGTATGTGGATACAGCACATATGAAATTTCCTCCCTCTTAAACAGATGCCCACGCCGCCATCAAAAGAACACTTAACATAAAATGACAAAATAATACAACACAACACATAAAACAAACAATGTCATATACGGTCTTTTGGTGATTTCAGAAAGCTACTTTTTATTCCCGTCGACTTCTGGCATCTTTTCTTTGTAAATGCGTTAAATGTTATCAATACATGTTGTTTTGATCATTTCAATGAGTGACTTTTGCTTTCTTTGCTTTGCGTTTCAATGCCTTCCGTTGGTCTGTTTGTACGTGCTTTTGGGTGTTTTGCTCTTGGCTGTGTGAAGCACATTGAGTTCTCTATATACTGTACGTAAAGTTGCCTTGCCTTGCCTTAAAATGCCTCGGCGTCGCCTGTGAATGCGTGCATGCCACAAGCACAGAAAGGTGATAGGGCTGAGTGAACCGAAAGGAAGCCGGAAGAGCATAGAGGGAGTGATTCTTTTTTTTAGTCCGACTTGACAGCTAGCGTGTGGCCCGGGGCTTCAAGCTGGCACGACCTCATTGGCGGGGCTTGGAAATATCTTTTCATGGCAAAAATGTGTAGCTGTTGTGTAGGCATAATTAAGATACTGGTGAACTCATTTTTTTCTTCTGGATCGTAATCGAGGTGTGCAACTGATAGTTGATTGTTGAGCGTTTCCGTGTATTCATTGGACACGCCCATAGCATTTGAAAGTGGAGGGAAAGGCTTTGCCAGTGTTGTTGACAACACTCTTCGTAGCGGTGTGTCGACTTCAGAAGAGTCACTATACAGTGACTTTGACATAATAAGAAAAAAGGTAATATTTCCATATCGAAAACCAATAAGTTTGTATTGTATTATTGACACCTAACAGTCATTTTGCTGCTTCATGTATTGATGAGTGTCTGACGTGCGTCCCTCAGATGAGTTCGGTCAAGCTCCTGCGGCCGCGTCTCAACGGCATCCTTTTCAAGCTGACATTCGAGGAGCAGGTGAACAACATCCGGCCCGACATCATGAATGTGACCTTCGCCTGCGAGGAGGTGAAAAAGAGCGAAGGCTTCAGGAAGCTGCTGGAATTGGTGCTGCTGGTCGGCAACTACATGAACGCCGGCTCCAGGAATGCTCAAACATTCGGTTTCAATGTTAACTTCCTCTGCAAGGTGAGATGCATGTTGAATGTATGCACTTTAACTTTGATGTAGTTTTACAGTTTGAGTCCGTCCGTCCATGGGAGTGTCAATTCCCCAAATCGTAATGGCACCGCCCATGTGTCAACAGTGAAACCGGGACTAACCTGCTAACGAACAAATGGAAAAAAAGAAGCATAAACATAACCTCCCACATGTGAAAAAAAGTTTCACTTTATCCAGCTTTTGTGTAAAATTTGAAAAGATCTCAAATATATCATATTAGACTGTGCAGGTCTTGTTTAAGTTGTAGCCTGGTGAGTGTCACGTTACAGAATTCGAGTCTAGGTTATCCTCTTGTGCGTGATCTTTAATTAAAAGTGAGCAAAGGGTGACTTTCCCGCTGCGGACCAAGGCGGGCAAAGTCACAGCACAGTGAAAATCATCCTTAAAGTCACACTGGAGTTTGCCAAATCCCATTGTTATGCTCTCACTTTATCTGAACTAAATGGATTTACAAGGAAGCACTGTCATGTAAAAATCCTTAACACCCCCCCCCCACACACACACACACACACACACACACACTCCCCACCAATGAAAGAATCCTGGTGATATTAGCCAGTGGTTGCCTTGCTCAAGCAGGAACATTTGCAGTCTGGATGTGGATGGGTGAATATTTTTGAAGGGAGTCTCAGAGTCTTCTGAGGTCTCAGGTAAAATGGCGCTGGATTACTTCCCAAATAAATAAATGAATAGTAACGAAGGGGTCCGAAAGGTTGGTAAACAGATGCTCGGAGTGTTGAACTTATTTTTGTTTTTATACATTTTGGCAGGAGAACGTCAGAAACATTACATTTTTAGATCTGGAATTGGTTTTCAATTGGGAAATACTGTAACTGTAATATGTCTCACCTTTTTTTATTTAAAGGTGACATCATTGTCTTAAACATGACCTAAAAGATACCACACCACTGATAAAATAGGCATTCTTACAAGCAACATATTTAAGATGACACATTTCACCATTAAAATGATTACTTGACATTGTTTGAGAAGGGCATTTACACTGTGGGAAACATATAAAGGTGGCACAAAGGTGAATTTCCACAATGAGCAAGCAGTTTAGGCATGCCCTGAATCAGTTCAGTGTAGAGCCTGGTAAAGGCCTCAGGGGGCTGATTGGCCAATTATTGATGAACAAGAGAAGAAACAACCCCCCCCCCCCAAAAAAAAAGTCTTGCTTCTCTCTCGAGTCAATCAGATGAATTGACCCCTGGGTGGCAGTTCTGGGGTACCTAATAGGCTCATCAGGGAGGAAGAGGTTGATGATGAGAATGAGTTGCGCTCATGCACGCGCACACACACACACACACACACACACACACACACACACACACACACACACACACACGCGCGCGAACAACTCTCACCCAAGGACGCGCGAGTCTCTCCGGAGTGAGCCTGATCACATTTTGAACGCCCACTCGCGCCTCATCAGTGGAGACAGTGTGGTAAAATGTCGGTTCAATACTACTGCACGGCAGTGTTTAAAAGGTGAGTAAAGGATTTTTATCACATTGTTCAACAATGTCAGATTTCCATGGTTAAAAAAAGAGACATCTATTAACCATCGAAATAAGCGTGCTAATGATGAACAGAACAGAGGCTGCATGCCACATACTGGCTGAATGAATAAAAACATCTGCTCGATTACTCAAAAACATCCCTGGCGTACTGAGGGAATAACAAGCAACATTAAATAACAATTTGCCAGCGTCGCTTAATAATTAAAGACACGGAACAGATTTGCGTTCAATTCAAGTCGAAGCAGAACAGACTTTAAGGCCGTCCTCGGTGTCTGTCCTGTTAAAAAGTGATGTTTTGCTCATGATCGAGCATTTTTGGGGCCACACAGAAAAGTAGGCAAAAAGTTGAAGGAAAAAAAATGGAAACAGAGTGTGCAAGAAAAAAGTGGAAAATTTACAAGATAAATGCCACAATTGACCATGTGTTCTTTTTTATTTTTTCAAATCAAAGTCAAATTTCGAGAAAAAAAATAGTAATTGTCCTAGAGGATGCCATGAAAGTCTAATTTACTCTTCGTACTCATTAATTTACGCTTCATTTGTAAAGCACTTTAAATGGACCCTAGGCTGGCTGCATGCAAAGTGCTGTACAGAAGGTAAAAATCTGACGTATAAAAGCAAATACAGTTAAGACAATGAATTACGGTAATTACACAAAAACAATGCAGAATTTCATGCTGAGTCGAAAGCCGAAAAATAAAAATGTGTTTTAAGATGCATTTTAAAGACGTTAATCTAAGACATTAAGTTGGAGCTTATACGAGGATTAAGTCTAATAATCAGACAATTATTATTATGAGTCACAAATGTATGACTATAAAGTGATATTCCAATATAAATGTTATTTTACATGAATGACATCCAGTAAAAAAAAAAAAGTCACAATTTTGCAATCCTGCTGACAATACATAGACACTTTTGCGACCAAAAGTGTTCATTCTAGCAGAGCGAAGTTGGTGTTTTACAGGAAAACAATGTAATAAGGCAAGAACTAAGTTAAAAACATTGAAGTTTACGAGGGAAAAAAAAAAAACAACAAAAATCTAATTTTCGAGTCGCTTCATACTGTAAATTCAGTTGAAAACAGTTCTATTTTGATCGGGACTTACATCCCTACATTGATCTCAAAGGTTAATTGCTCGTCACTGTGCTGCATGTGTGAAAGTGTTTTGATGAACACTTCCTGCAAGCTATTATCATGCATGCATATCCCTGCTCAAAATATTCTGTGGGTCCCAAATGCATAATTTCCCCACAAAATGCACAGATTAGTTTAAGAATTGGAACTATAGACACTAACCAGGTGCCCCATTATAAAGGCCATCCAGCATCAGCGGCACGTAGAAAAGATGCATTTCAGAGGGGCTTTTATGGAGGCAGGATTAAACACTTAGTGTCCTTGAAAGAAATGCACAAAAGTGAGTGCATCTCTACCATCATCGTCCTCCCCCACCATGATACATACAATTGATGCATACACGAACGGACAATATTATAGAGGGATCACATGCCAGAGTCTACTTGAAGTGTAGCCATTCAAGAAGCCAAATTGACCAAAATATGATATGTTGGTGCTGTTGTTTGAGTTAGTAGCTGCATTGAGATCATCTCCACAGTTAAGTACTGTATTTAACAGTAAGATCCATGAAGACTTACCAGCCCTTTTTTTCTCTACTCACCATACGCATTTATTTGTTATGCATCCACCATAAAAAAAAAAAAAAAACATCATCATCCGGATATTATCACTTAGTTTGACACTGAATTATCGGATTAGTGTGGCAACGGGGAAACCCACAATGACATTATTTATTCATTACATACATGAAGATGAGTTTACTGTAATAAATAAGATGGTTTAGTGCAATAATGGCAGCTTGCAGTGTGACAATAAACACATTAAAATTCAAAGCCCGTGAAATGAGCAAATGATTGATCCTCACTTGACAAAAATTCCATGTTGACGTGTGAGGGTGTTTCGCTGGTAACATGTAATTGGCTGAATTTTGTGCGTGTGTGGGTTGTTGTTGCTGTGGCTGTTAATGTTGCGCACATGGCCAGGTGCACATGTGTGGGCAAATCCAACTCTGGCTGTCGGCAGCATGGATATTTTCAGTATGAGAACAAAGTGCTGTGTGGCGCTAATTAGCTTCCCCCAGCATGCCATTGGAGCAGCTTGGCAATCACGGCGGGGGATGATTGTGGCATAACTTTTTTTATGCTCATGGATGTACTGAGTCTGGTATCTGTGTGTGAAGACAGAGTTTCTACTGAGACAATTGTGTGTTCAGCACGAGTACACGAGAAAAATGGTACAAAATTTTAGTCTTTTCCTGAAAATTTATTTTATGCTGTTATAGCTGAAAATTGATTTTCTTTTTTTTTCAGGGTATAAAACGTGTGCATTTTCTGATCCACTTATCCTCACAAGGGTCGTGGCTGTATTGAAGCCTATTCCAGCTGTCTTCGGGCAGTCGGTGGGGGAAACCAGAACTGGTTGCGAGCCAATCGCAGGGCACACATAGACAAACAATCACGCATGCTCACACTCACACCTAGGGACAATTTAGAGCAGGGGTGTCAAACATACGGCCCGCGGGCCGGATCCGGCCCGCAAAGGAGTTTAATCCGGCCCGCGAGATGATTATGTAAAGCAGGGGTGTCAAACATACGGCCCGCGGGCCG